CTCAGATGCCTGGATAGGGCACTCTGAACTTGTGTTTCCTGATAAAAATTTGGCTTGTTCCCCAACAAGAAAAATGGGTGGGGGAGGGGTTGAGTGCATAACTAGCTGCTGGTGTTGCCACTGCTCTGGCCACAGTTTTCACTATGTATAGCAAAATACTATATTTTTGTTATTCTCTTTGTTCATATTGCCATATTGTTCATCAGAGCCTAAGGCTCAGTGATGTTTATGATCCAGCTGTTAATATTATTAAATTTCATGGCAAACATGTACTAAAATTAGAATATGACCAATTAAATTTAAATCATATCCTGAAGATTGAGATAGATGAGACCAGGAAAGCTCCGGAAGTTACCATAATAAAGTAATGAATCCAACTTTTATGACCAACATCAATTCTAATTATCTCAGCACACTATTATATGAATAATGTGCATCTCTTAAATGATAAAATTCTTTTTTTGCATTTATGAATGATGATGAGAGGCTTTCTAAAGTGTATATTTTGTAGTGCTATTGGGGAATTTCGCAAGCTTACGAAAATGATAACGAATATGGTTATGTCAATGGTACCTCCCTATTTTATTTCTAATTATGTTAAGGCCAATTTTTTTGGATATCGATTGTAGGGGGTGTTGAAAATTTTTAACATGTTGTTGCCTATGATTGATAAATTAGTGTACTCTAGCTCAAAATCCTCTCAACCCATCAATTAAAAAAAAAAATCTTGTCATAGGATCTCAAGTGAGGGCCTAAGTACACCCTTTTTTGTTATTATTTTCACATACCTGTACTTGCATTTATTTTTCATCAAAAGATTTTATTTTTATTCTTTTTTCCACTTAGATGTTTTTAACTAAATAAAAAAAATGGGCTCCCAGTGGAAGCATATATTTATGCCCTATACCTGCCTTGGATTGGAGTGGAAATGTATGGTGGTGTTTTTTTTTTTTTATTGTATGATGAGTCTGACTTCGGTACAGTCAAGGTACAGTAATAAGGCCCAAAAAAAAGATATGTTGTGTTGCCCTCCGCGACCGACCAAAAATTTCCATTTTTTTTTTTTTTTTTAAATTTTGTTTAAGTACAAATTCGAGAAATACCACTGCCAAAATTTACATTTAGAACATAAAATCTAAAAGAGACATGTATTTTTATTAAAATCGGGCCATAGATGCACATGTAAAATTGGTAAATTAAAAGGCATAATTTTGAGAACCGAGAGTGACGACGATAATATATCGGATCTCTCGCACTGAGCTGTCAAGCCACGACCAGATCTAGGCCTAGCCTATTCTTTACTACTGTACTGTATAGTATTCATTACCTTACAGTATATTGGACAATAACTAAAAACAGGCTTAGGTCTAGCCATCGCTTTAAAGCCGGTACATTTTCAGCTCCCAACCATAGACGAAATATTTTTCTCTTTTTTTTCTCAAAGTTTATTTTCATTGTATTACATAGAGGGCGCTTGTTTGGACATTTTTCATAGCCATTGTATGGTTTTGCTCGACCTGCCAGTGCGTGATCGTCTGGATTGGTTACACATTATTGTTTTATGTTTCGAAGCCAAATAAAACTTTCTTTAATCTGATTTATTAATTTTAAATTTATTTTGATATACACTTGGTATAGTATAATCATGTCATTACTTTGAATATTTTTTATTTGGCAAGCTTGCCATCGTTCTATTGTGGTGCCTACAAGCTACAAGCCTTTAGGCCTGGTCTTCATGAGGGGACTGCTGATTAAGGCCTATCCTATTTCAAGTATTGCTAAAAAAAAAAATTAAAATTAAAAAAAAATTAAAATTAAAATTTTAAAAATTTTAAAATCCGACTGACCGATGATCTCGATTTTTTCCATTTAAGGGCAACATAACAATTTTTTTTTTTTTGGCCTAAGGTACTTAAGGTGACAGTGACACATGACCCATCATGTACTGCCACACCGGATTTACAGGGTTAACATCCACCAGAATTACATTTTCATATTTAAACATACTGTACTATGCCCTCAAGGGGGCATGGTGATGATTACGTTAATACTGTATGTTGGGTATTTTATTTACCTTTCAATATGTACACTACGGTACGTATTATGTTTATTGATGATTGATCAAAGTATCGAGGACTACATAATCATTATGATAATTAAAAAAAGCTCTGTAGAATACAGAGTCATGGTTAAATTACTGTTACCTAGGTGAAATCTTACCTTATGAATATTCATGAAATATTTCCCTTCAATTATGCATTGAATATTAATCATTTCCTGAGTATTCTTTGCTAAGGGAAAAACCCATTAATTATGAACTGATTATTTACTTTGATGACAGAGAGTAAAAATAACATGAATTGTTTTTAATTTTGATTAATGAGATTGAAAAACAGAAATAACTAATTAGCTAATTAATTAGCCTCCTAATGAAGTAAAAACATCAACACTTTGCTGTAGCCTGTAGATAGGAAATGACAATTGAATGAGATAATGATATCAGTTATTTGTATATATTAGATGAGTTGCTTTTGTCCCAGTGATGTCTACGGAATTCAATCATTAGGCCCTACTTGGTATAAGCCTACCTTTTGGTACAAGCTAGAGATGTTGCTAGTCTGGTCTTGCTAGCAATTGTAGCTGCCCTAAAAATCATTTGTCCCCTCCCCCAAACTTGACCCTATTTGATATTCAAGAAACAGCCTTATACCCACCTCAGTACAACACATGATTGAATGACCCTTTTTCTGTATTTGAATGGTTAATGATATAGTGTCTGTCTTAAGCTAGTAAATATAAATAAATCCTATAAATACAAAATAATAAACATAAATTAAATTCAACATTTTAATTGCTTACTTCATACATAAAGTTATTTAATCTAAAAACAAGAAAATAGTTTCTGTGGCAATTAAAAATATGCAAAAACACAGTTTTCGTAACCTTTGGATGCTTTCCATAGACCCTTAAATTGGCTGATACCCCTGGCCAGGTTGGACAAGTATTGATAATAGTTCGGGCCACTAGGTAAAAGATTCCGTGGTGAACTGTATTATAATGTGTTAATTGTCAAAAAATATAATAGCGTAGAGTTACTTAATTATATGGTACAAACTAAGTGTTCAATTTTTTATTTCAACTTAATTAGCCAAACATATACTATGTCTTTGATATTTTTTTTTATAATGTCAACTACGAAGATTCTGAATCATGCATATGTAAAGTATGACAATGCCTTAAAAAAGTCCCCGTGTTGTGAAATGTGGATTCTCGCTTTTTCATATTGCAATTTGAACCTCCAAATTTCACGCTTCGTTTGCTAGATTCATAAAATCTAAGTGCAGTTTTTCTTCGCTATTCTTATTGCCTAATACTGTGCATCAGTTTTTTTCAGTGGGAGTACTAAAGCAAGAATTAAAGTTTGTTTTACATATTATGAACTAACAATCTAAGGATCTTAAAGCCATACATCCTGAAAAGGAATGAAACTCCTGTTTTTTGCCTCAGGTAGTCTGTTCATTTTCTGTGTTGCTGTATTTGCAACAAAAGATGACCCCATCTACTGGAAGGGAGAATGCAACAGAACAAGTGGGCTTGCATTGTGTTGGTGTATTAATTGAAACAAGGATTCAATATAGAATTACATACATTAGACTACCTATTTTCATGCAATTTAAAAAAAAAAATAATGTTGGCTCCTATCTAGGATTGAACCAAAAAGGCTCCACCAACTGACCTACGGTTTATGTTTTTAATTTATTTAATATCACAAAAAGGAACAAAATAAATTTGTTTTTTCATGGTGGTTTTTTTTTTTTTTTTTTTTTTTTTTTTTTCCGAATTTGTGTTTTTTTTTTTTTTTTTATCCCAATCTGTGTTGTCTTTTATTTGCATTTTGTCTGCGATTTTAAGGATTTCACTGCTTCTTATTTGGAAATTTTCTTGTCTGTTTGAGCTTGGGCAGTTCCATACTTGCTGTGGGGTTTGGGGTGCATTGTGGGATGCTAGAACTTTGCAACTGCAAAGAAAGGCACCATATAAATAACTGAAGAATGAATGAATGAAAATACAAAACAACTCTTAAATAAAAATGTATTCAACTGTAAAAGTAATTTAAATTTGTAAAATATATTATTGCATTACTTATAAGTAAATAAATTGTTTTACACGGAAGCTAACTGTGGTATTAAATTGCACAGTTAATTTCAGTTTGCAGACAAAAATCTTTGCCATAATCATTATCCTGTAAAGGTATTGAAAGCATCAAATGAAGAACTCTGTATTTTGTGAGCTTTTTCAGTTATTCGACATACTGTAGTACTGTAGTGGGTGTAACATCAGATTTGAATGCTTTTTAATTTCTATTGAACAAATTTCTGATTAGTTAAACAAAAGTTTATTCGATTATCCAGATTTTTCACTGCACAATCATATACCTGATATTAATAAGTGACTTTGATTAATTCAATCAAATATAAGCCACTGTTAATCCAATCAGAATTTGCTGTGTTTCGTTATTATATTATCAAGTTTGTTGAGTCTGTCCCTGAAAGGAAATAGTTGCACCTCTGAGATCCCAATCGATCGTTCTAAGTTTTAAGGAGACATAAAGTTTACAAAATTGTTATATTGGAATGAATCACAGTGATTTTGTGAGAAAAAATCTTAAATGGTTAACATGTGACTCAATAAATCTATGTATTTTTATCCTTTTTGGTTTTATTGAAAAAGATGAATTTGAAACTATTATTTTAGTTATTTAAATTATATTGCATACTACAGAAAAAATGGTCTCTTCCAAAAGTTGTCTCCTTACAACTTAAATTTAGTAGCTTCACACTACAACACTTGTTTCCTTCTAATGAAATCAAATTTGACATATCTACTAAATTTTCTTGCACTTTTGTTGTATCAAATAAATCTTTTCCTTATAGTTTTCTGGAAAAGAAGCAGCTATATTTTCCTTCATTTAACTATAGTGTCATTTTATATCTTACCAGGTTGATAGTACCACCCCTTTACCCCCGGTAGAACATTCCACCAGTGACGAGTCACCCGAGTGGGTTACTGCCAACATGAGTCAGACAGACTTAAATACTGCTGGGTGGACAGAGATAAATGAGCTTCTGCATCAAACACAACAGGAGAACATGGCGATGCGACAGCAATTAGAGCTGCTTAAACAAGAAAACAGAACACTCAAAGATAAAATAACAGCACTTGATTCTTCAATGCAGTACTCCAAAACTGATTATGAAAAGGCAATGTTACTCGCATTAGAAGGTAGTTCGCGATCACGTGGAGAAAGCCCGATCCTGCCAACAGAACCAGATAGCACAACGCTTGAGCGTATGCCATCAGAGAGTAGTTTAGTGAACGACCTTTTATTGCTTCCTTTCCTGCCATCATCATCTTCTGACGGATCCGGTCTTGCAGATGATCCATCAAACGCATCTGATAATAACTGGGACATTGTAAGTAGTGAGGGAGAAGGGTCAGTAGCATGTTTACAAGATCGGATCCTTCAGATGGAGGAAAATCACTACACTGTAAATGAGGAGTTGCAAGCCACTCTTCAGGAACTCACAGATCTGCAAGAGAACAACAATTTCCTCTCACTGGATAATGATAAACTAAATGAGGAGAAAGTTCTTCTCTTTGAACTTTTGTGTCAACGAATAGAAAAAGCTGAACGTTTGGAAAAACTTACTGACCACTTTAACACTTTCATAAAGGAGAACAAAATTGATTATGATAGTAAAAAGTATGAAGAAGAATTTAAATGCGATAAAGAGGAAATTAATAAACGAATAACAGAACTCATGGAGGCTAGTAAAACAAGCATAGATGGGCAGAAACTTATAGCAACGTTGATTGATCAACGCGATAGCAGAAGTAATTTAGAAAAACTTCAGAACAAACTCTATGAGATGGAGCAAGTAAACGAGGAATTAATAAATGAAAAAGAGAAATTAGAGGGAGAAATCGTTCAATTAAATGAAACTATAATGAATTTTGAGGAGGGTTTTCTCAAGGTAAAAGTACAGTTAAAAGATGAACAAAGTAAGTCTGCTCATTTAGTTGAATATCAGGATCCAGATGGCAATTTAAATCTTGATATGTTACTTGAAAATGCCAGATCTGAAAAAGAGCAGTTGGACAACCGATGTACACAGTTGGAGAGAGAACTGCAAACCAGTAAGGAAGAGACAGAGAATTTACATGAAGAATTGGTAAAGTATCAAGATATGTATGAATCAGAAAAAGATGAGGAGTTAACCGCAATGAAGCAGATGATGGACGAGCTTGAGTGTGAGAAGCAAGAGTTAGAAACGGAAGTGATCAATTTAAAAGATGCAGTGGAGGAGATGGATGTTGAGACAGAGCGGCTTAAAGCCGACACCCAACAGCACCTACAGACTATATCAGATCTGAACAAATCGCTGCAAAATCTGAAGCAAGAGAAACAGGATTTACAACGGAATTTAAATGAGTTGAAGAGGACTAGTACAAGAGCAGCTGATGAATGGAAGTCATTCCAGGCAGATTTACAATTAGCTGTAGTAATTGCCAACGATTATCGTAGTGAGGCTCAATCTTCTGTTGACTTGCTTACCAAGGAACGTAAGGACCTTATAGAAAAAATCACTTGTTTAAACCAAGAAATTGAGAGGCTGAACAAAGTACCGCGACAATTACCATCACCTGTACAGGTGAAACCCCAACCTCCTCTCACTGAGAGTGAAATTAGGAAACGGATGCAAGCCTACATGAAGCCTGTAGAAAAGGAATTAGCTCAACTTCGGCAAGGGGGTGGGCGTAAGAAGACGCAACCATTGTCTGTAAAATCGCTAGTACAATCCATAGAAAGTGTGGCCTCTCAGAATGGCAGTATGCCAGTTTCTCCTAACCCTGTCACAGAACCGGATAAAAACATTTTTGCTCCAACTTCATCAAACGGATCATCCGGAAGATCCTCACCAGCCTTTTCTGCTCGGCCTTCGTTGGAGCGCCGCAACACAACTGTCTCTCAAAAAACTGAATCAAAGACACCGCCCCCATTATTACGCCGTGCTAGCACACCAGTCTTGTCTCCAGTAGAATCTAGAAAGAGTTTAAGCCCGTCAGCTGTAGTACGTACCCCAACGACTAGGACGGATGCAAGGCAGGCAATTGGTGATGTGCTGTACAGGCGATCTGATTTTCCAAGCCGTAAAACAAGTTCAGGCTTGAATGCTTCACCCACCAACAATACAACAACCAAGGATAGCACTGGTATAAAAACATCTACTGTTTCATCTCCAAGAAGACCCAAGTAAGTTAACTTCCATTGCAAGTTTTTAATTTCTATATTCTTTATTTGCTATTAATCATTTTATGAAACATTACCAGAATACTGTGTACCGTTTCTTAGTCCATTTTCATGGAAATTGTTATGCTTCATTTAGACATACTTTCATAGCTGTATTTAAGTTTATTCATATGCTATAAATTATTGTCTTCACAAGCAAGTGATTAATGATGATAATGACAATGTAACATTTATTATTTATTTTAATTTTATTTGAACCATATTTAATAAGATAATATTAAATGCACAGTACCATCATCATCTCATCTACTTCACTTACAAGCCACATTTTATAGTATTTGCCTTTCGCAAAGGAATGTGAATATGATGTTTTATCATCAAGTAGAGAATGTGAAAAGGTCCCTTGAAATTATGCCAACTTTAATATCCCAATTGGAATCCAGAAGGCTGAGTGCTGTTCCAAATGCTTCCATGTAAAATAAAGTTTACAGTTTTAGTTTCAACAATTCAAAGGAATCGTGTTATATTTCATATTGTAAGTGGCATTTCCTTGTGAATTTTGTGCGTCTATATTCATCCTTCTTCACTGGTTTAAGGAACAAATATCCTGAAATTTTCCCTCCTGCTATTGGCTATGATTATGTAATGTGAAATTTTCTTTTATCTAATAATGCAAGCTTTTAATTTAAGGCCATGTGGCTATAAAACATTTTGTAAAAATTTCACTTTAAAAATATACTGTCTATGGTGATATCTGGGGGGAAACCCCTTGAAAAATTAAATAAAACATTGAGTTCAATGAGACAAAGATCAAAACATTTCAGTTTTTGCTATTTTTACAGACCATTTTCTGCCAAGAATATAAGATCAAAATTTATTTGTGTGTCTAATTCTGGATTGACACCAAAAAAAAAAACAACTTACATGCATCACGTGCCAAGGAAAATTTATAATGCATCATCAGCTACCTTGCGTCCATGTTATTGTCCTTATAAGATCAGCATGCATCCGTGTATTACACATTAAATATCCATGTAAAAAAAACGGGCATGGTATAGGTCCGTAATATTTACAAATTTCACATGGATTTGTGCGTATGGTGTATCTTACATATTTCACACTGTGGTGTCATACACAGGCTTCTATCCAGTGGTGGCATTGGCAAGGGGGGAGGGGGAATTTTCCCACCTGTCAGACAGGCCTGGACCCTCCTGTCGTCCAAAGAACAACTAGGTCATCGTGCCAAAAATTAAAAAAAAATAATAATTTACCTATCCAAATATTGCTATTTTGATTGCCAATCCCTAATGTTATGGTCTAAAAGCACATTTAGGACCAAATTAAGCGATATGAACCCTTTCATTCCAGGCCGTCGACCGAGACTTGTCGTCGCCTTGGTTTAGACCTCTCTGTCTCACACATGTCGGACCCCCCCCCCTTGTCGGCCAATTTTCTGACGCCACCTCTGCTTCTAGCAAGAATCTTTAAATTCTGTATAGTTCTTTGCAAGGTTAAATGCAGTGGCCTGTCTAGGGAATTGCGTGGGGGCGCAC